TCCGTAATTGCAATTGCACAAAAATGTCCGTAATACAGATAGATGAATCCGTCAGAAGTTTAGTGTGCAGGGGCCCAAAAAGATGCAAATTTACTTTAAAAAGGACTTTTATTTAGATGGTTTGTTTTTCACAGTACGGGAGTAGGCGTTTGCCGAAGGCTTTACCCAGTTTAACAGTTTTCATAATGAATTACAAGGTAACAAAAAAATAAGGAAATCACTCTCCAAACTCAACAGTGTACTCAGTGCACTGCACTCTCTTCAGCGTGTACTCACGAGTACACTCTCTTCAGCGTGTACTGACGAGTACACTTTCTTCAGCGTGTGCTCACGAGCACACTCCCACGAGCGTGTATTAAACTGCGTATATTTCCAGGATCTGAGCACGCTCTCGTCAGAGTGTACTCATGTAGGCGCACTCTCGTTGGAGTGTACTTATGAGTATACACGCTGAACAGAGTGTGCTGAGCACATGGTGGAGTTAGCAGAGCGTATACGGTTCGGGGTCACGAAAGTAGCGCTTTAAGCAGGGGTTCCCTTCTCTCGACGGGGGGCCCAGCTTCCAATAGAGCCAATGCACACGGGAAAGACGCGGGGGTCACGAACGCAACTCCTACAGTTTAGGATTCTCAATGCAAATAATTGACAAAAAAACCTATCTCACGTAGCTAAATATAGACTATGCAGTGTACGGGAGACGGCGTCTTGACGTAAACAGTCTTGGCAATGCTGCACCAGTACCGCCTATCCGCGCCTTGCGTCCATGCCGACCTTGGGCCGCGGCAGCGCTAGCCTCTCCGACAGACATACACTGCAGGAAATAACCACAACAAAAGTACTCAAATTTCTGGCAATTTTTTAATCAGGAATTTAGTGTACTTTACAAGGTAGGTTTACGCCAGACCGCGTCTTGTCGTAACAGGCTTCGCGATGTCTCGCGGCCTGTTCCTCCAATCCGCGCCTGGCGTACCTACCTTGGCCTGCGGCGCTAGCCTGCCTTCGGCAGGCATTGGCTTGTCCATCGTCGGTTACTTCTTACGTGTTGCATGCTGTGGGGCTCCGCCCCCCAGACCCCCCTTAATTCTAGAAAGAGTTGCTTAATCTACAGATAACACGATCTTGACCCTTGTAACTTTTTAACTTGTCGAGGTTGGGGAGCTCCGCCCCCCAGACACCCCTTTCTTCAAGACAGAAGTGATCTGCCTGCAGAAAACTCGATTTTTCGCCGTTTTTTAGGTGTTTTTCGGCTATAAAAACTGAACCACTTGAGCTAGGATGGTGAAATTTCGCGTGTGCCGAGCCAAGGACATACCTCATAAGCCTGCAAAATCTCAGCCAGATCGGCCGAGCCGTTCAGGAGGAGTAGTGTACACACACAGACAGACACACAGACAGACAGGAAAAATTTTTCAACCCCACTGGAGTAACAGGCTTCGCTATCGCTCAGCCAACAAGTACAACAATTGTTGTACAAAGTACAATGGAACCGGCATGACGAGTGCCGTGCAGTCCAGGGCTCGTTGTGGTTTGTACAATTCTCGTTGTACTTTCTACAATCCCTGTTGTACTTTTATGGAACAGTTTTTGTTGTACTTTTGTTGTACTATCCACACTTTTTCTTGCAGTGTATTTGCCAGCGATCGCCACACGAATTAAAATGCTCGCTCGTCGAGACTACATTTATTTGCCTTATTGTTTTCTGATGTGTCGTGGGCGGCGCCTGAGCAGAGGTCACTCAACTTTGGTATCAGCACCCTCGTCAACGTCGCAATGAGAGCTCTAGCCCTTATTCGAAGTTTGGGTCCCTCGGCCAAAAATGTGCGGAGAGTAATAGTCCAGCGACGCCTGTCATCACGTGGAACCGAGCGCGATGAAAATGGTAGCGACTTCGATAGCGACGCTCTGTCTCCGTCGTCTAGAATAATATGCAGTGCAGTGCTGTATTTCACGCGTGTACCGGTTCCCCCAGTCGTTCTCCGACACATCACACAGGCTCCCGCAATGCGTTTCAGTCGAGCTCCGGACGCCTTTCGTAACGCCACGACATGCACCTCACGAGACGCCTCTGCGCTCCGCTGTCACACTTTACGAGGTAAGTGGACGGACACCAAAAGAGAGATCCGCCTCTGTGACTGGCCTGAAAAGCGAAGGGTGTCCCCAGATATTTTCAAAAGCCTTTATTTTAGCGGGGGGGGGGGGGGCAACGAAATTTAAAGGATGAGACATGTACCACCAATTTTCCCCGATACAAAAACTATCTCCGAAAAAATGGTCGTACACGAATGTATCACGGTTAATAGGTCGCATAGGGTGCATCACCGAACAAAGGTCAGACATCAGCGAGATTGACCCTTGAACTCCTGCGGCAGTGTCACCCTTTTTCGCTGATACATTTGTATACGGCCTCTTTTTCGGTGACACATTTGTGTACGAGCTTTTTTGTTGCTGTTATATTAGGGTACGATCGTTTTTTCGGTGAAGCATTTCAAGTAATAAGGCAGGGTGGGGAACCATGACCACTTTTTTTTTGGACTTTTATCTACTCCACCGTGTGGTTCGAAAAGTTAAGTTTCCAGCATGAGAGGATTCATTGGACACCTCTTCCACCCATTGGAACTTGTCTGCAATGCACGGCAGGCTCACAGAACACTTTGGAAAATAAAACGCAAAGTGGTCATGGCGCCCCACCTATGGGGTACCATGACCACCCCGTGGGGCACCATGACCATAGTAATTTTTTGGCCCAAAAAAGTGTACTTTCTACCAGTATTCTCATTGAAATTGTTTATATCGCTGTCCTTACCATCAGGCCAGTCAACTTAACTAAACAAGGTAGGTTTACGCCAGACCGCGTCTTGTCGTATCAGGCTTCGCGATGTCTCGCTGCCTGTTCCTCCAATCCGCGCCTGGCGTACCTACCTTGGCCTGCGGCACCGTGCCTGCGGCGCTAGCCTGCCTTCGGCAGGCATTGGCTTGTCCATCGTCGGTTACTTTTACCTTGTTGCATGCTGGGGGCTCCAGACCCCCCTCCATTCTAGATAGAGTTGCTTCATCTACAGATAACACGATTTTGACCCTTGTTACTGTTTAACTTGTCGAGGCTGGGGGGCTCCGCCCCCCCAGACCCCCCCTCCTTCAAGACAGAGGTGACCAGCCTGGAAAAAACTCGATTTTTCGCCATTTTTTAGGTGTTTTTCGGCTATAAAAACTGAACCAGTTGAGCTAGGATAGTGAAATTTCGCGTGTGCCGAGCTAAGGACATACCCAAAAAGTGTGCAAAATCTCATTGAGATCGGCCGAGCCGTTCAGGAGGAGTAGTGCGGACACACAGACAGACAGACACACAGACAGACCGACAGACAGACAGGAAAAGTTTTTCAACCCCACTGGAGTAACAGGCTTCGCTATCGCTCAGCCAAAAACACTGTAAAAACCTTCGAAGTTTTAAACGTTCTAAGATGCCTTAAAATGCACGGTTTAAAACAGTTAACGCTCTAAGGCTTTCCAATTTCACATCCAAAGCTATGACATGTTTTACTATTTTATGTTTGACTTGCTTAGACGAATCCAAATTCGTATGCAGATTTCAATTTGGTAAATTTTAAATAAATTATCGTGGTTACTACACTGCAAACAAGTGAATTAGGGGTAGGTTGGGGAAGAAAAGTACAAAACGCGTACTTTGCACTGTGCAGAAGTTCCAAATGAGGATTCAACTATTCTGCTCTCGTGAGCTTGTAGTCCAATGCCTTCCTAATGAAATGGATCACTGTTCATAGATTATAGTTCCGTACATTACGTACATCATGCCTAAATGTATGTGATTTCGGAACTCCTCGAAAAGGGTAAGAAAAGTACACCACCGGGGAAGAAAAGTACAACGAAAAGAATTGTGATTTCGAACCAGGAGACCACCAATCTTGGCTCAACACAGGTTCACTCATCAAGTGGAGAGCTTTCACTTGCCATTAGTTCAAGTTTTGTCAAAATCGGTCAATTGGTTCTGATTCTACATGGACTCATCACAGAAGGTCCAAAATGCCTTTTCTCAGAGATAAGTGGGTACAGCATTTTTGTACTTTTCTTCCCCTTTTCACGTAAATGCCCAATAACTTGTTTATTTCTAGTCTAATTCTATAACTTGTGTTGACATTTTTTGCTTATCTCGCCTATTCAAATCTATTTCCGTGATCAATTCAATTTTCATCCCGCTTTTAGTTTCTTAGAGGGTGTTTTTTTCTTCCCCAATGCCTGTACTTTTCTTCACTGTGGCAAAAAGGTACGGAAAATTCTGTTAATTTTTTTGCCAGGATTCTCCGTAGCCCTCTTATCAATATTCTCCGTAGGATCTTACAGTATTCTCCGTAGGGCCGCACAGTATTCTCTGTAAGTCCGCACAGTCTTCTCCGTAGGACCTGGAAGACTGTATAGTCCTACGGAAATCACTGTAAGGTCCTACGGAGAATACTGTGCGGTCCTACGGAAAATACTGTAAGAGCCTACGGAGAATATTGTTGTACAAAGTACAATGGAACCGGCATGACGAGTGCCGTGCAGTCCAGGGCTCGTTGTGGTTTGTACAATTCTCGTTGTACTTCCTACAATCCCTGCTGTACTTTTATGGAACAGTTTTTGTTGTACTATCCACACTTTTTCTTGCAGTGTATTTGCCAGCGATCGCCACACGAATTAAAATGCTCGCTCGTCGAGACTACATTTATTTGCCTTATTGTTTTCTGATGTGTTGTGGGCGGCGCCTGAGCAGAGGTCACTCAACTTTGGTATCAGCACCCTCGTCAACGTCGCAATGAGAGCTCTAGCCCTTATTCGAAGTTTGGGTCCCTCGGCCAAAAATGTGCGGAGAGTAATAGTCCAGCGACGCCTGTCATCACGTGGAACCGAGCGCGATGAAAATGGTAGCGACTTCGATAGCGACGCTCTGTCTCCGTCGTCTAGAATAATATGCAGTGCAGTGCTGTATTTCACGCTTTGTACCGGTTCCCCAGTCGTTCTCCGACACATCAACAGGCTCCCGCAATGCGTTTCAGTCGAGCTCCGGACGCCTTTCGTAACGCCACGACATGCACCTCACGAGACGCCTCTGCGCTCCGCTGTCACATTTTACGAGGTAAGTGGACGGACACCAAAAGAGAGATCCGCCTCTGGACTGGCCTGAAAAGCGAAGGGTGTCCCCAGATATTTTCAAAAGCCTTTATTTTAGCGGGGGGGGGGGGGCAACAAAATTTTAAAGGATGAGACATGTACCACCAATTTTCCCCGATACAAAAACTATCTCCGAAAAAATGGTCGTACACGAATGTATCACGCATAGGGTGCATCACCGAACAAAGGTCAGACATCAGCGAGATTGACCCTTGAACTCCTGCGGCAGTGTCACCCTTTTTTCGCTGATACATTTGTATACGGCCTTTTTTTCGGTGACACATTTGTGTACGAGTTTTTTTGTTCCCGGGTTATATTAGGGTACGATCGTTTTTTCGGTGAAGCATTTCAAGTAATAAGGGAGGGTGGGGAACCATGACCACTTTTTTTTGGGCTTCTATCTACTCCACCGTGTGGTTCGAAAAGTTAAGTTTCCAGCATGAGAGGATTCATTGGACACCTCTTCCACCCATTGGAACTTGCCTGCAATGCACGGCAGGCTCACAGAACACTTTGGAAAATAAAACGCAAAGTGGTCATGGCGCCCCACCTATGGGGTACCATGACCACCCCGTGGGGCACCATGACCATAGTAATTTTTTGGCCCAAAAAAGTGTACTTTCTACCAGTATTCTCATTGAAATTGTTTATATCGCTGTCCTTACCATCAGGCCAGTCAACTTAACTAAAAAACACTGTAAAAACCTTCGAAGTTTTAAACGTTCTAAGATCCCTTTAAAATGCACGGTTTAAAACAGTTAACGCTCTAAGGTTTTCCCAAATTTTCACATCCAAAGCTATGACATTTTTTACTATTTTATGTTTGACTTGCTTAGACGAATCCAAATTCGTATGCAGATTTCAATTTGGTAAATTTTAAGAAAATTATCGTGGTTACTACACTGCAAACAAGTGAATTAGGGGTAGGTTGGAGAAGAAAAGTACAAAACGCGTACTTTGCACTGTGCAGAAGTTCCAAATGAGGATTCAACTATTCTGCTCCCGTAAGCTTGTATGCCTTCCTAATGAAATGGATCACTGTTCATAGATTATAGTTCCGTACATTACGTACATCATGCCTAAATGTATGTGATTTCGGAACTACTCGAAAAGGGTAAGAAAAGTACACCACCGGGGAAGAAAAGTACAACGAAAAGAATTGCGATTTCGAACCAGGAGACCACCAATTTTGGGCCCAACACAGGTTTACTCATCAAGTGGAGAGTTTTCACTTGCCATTAGTTCAAGTTTTGTCAAAATCGGTCAATTGGTTCTGATTCTACATGGACTCATCACAGAAGGCCCAAAAATGCCTTTTCTCAGAGATAAGTGGGTACAGCATTTTTGTACTTTTTTCCCCTTTTCACGTAAATGCCCAATAACTTGTTTATTTCTAGTCAAATTCTATAACTTGTGTTGACATTTTTGCTTATCTCGCCTATTCAAATCTATTTCCGTGATCAATTAAAATTTTCATCCCGCTTTTAGTTTTTAGGGGGGGTTTTTTTTTCTTCCCCAATGCCTGTACTTTTCTTCCCCAGCCGACTGTACTTTTCTTCCCCATTTCATTTTTACACTTAAAAAAATTGTGTTAAAGCCTAAGAGCATCGATCGGCACTGTTTTTCAAAGATGATGGTCTAAGCTATAAGGTGGTACCTTACATTGCACTGTCGGCTGATTCTGCAGGAAGCTGTACTTCAAAGTACACTGTTAAAAATTCACTGTAATATTTCAACACAATCACCTACAGTAATGCTGTTAAATAACAACCGTATTGTTTTGTATCTGAACGGGAAACCCATCCAGAAACAGCACTTTCGTTTCATAACAACTTCCTTGTCAAGTGACAATAATGTAATCGTGATTCAAAACAGTTGTGCTGTCGTTGAACAGGTTTCATGTTTAGAAACAGCCTTTTGCAATCTTAAAACATGTATTGTTGTCAGGTTACAAGGGTCTTGTTTAATAACAGCACGATGAAATCAACACAAATGTTGGGAAGACATCTTCGAAGACCTTCAAGAAGTATTGTTTTATTACAATCGAACTGTCAGAAAACAGCACCGAGGGCTACAACATGCTTGTAATAAAACAAGTCGTGTTGCTATCAAACTTAACAGCATAAGTGCTGTTAATTTACAGCACTTTTTTTAACAGTGTACAAACATTTAAAAAAAAAGATTTTCAAAGTTATTTTTAATGTTTTTTTTTCAAACGTGCAGTTTGATTCTAAATATTATATGTAGAACTGGGCTAAATTTATTTTTGGTCAGCGTGATGACCAATCTTTCTAAAACCACTAACGTGATGGTTCAGTGTAGTTTCAGTTCAGAGATATATCGGGTGTACTTTTCTTACCCGAGCCTGGAGTGTACTTTTCTTACCCAACCTACCCCTAAATGCTGTTTCTCATAATGCCATAGCCATCTTGGTGCAAAGTAGCCACGGATCGCCTTCGCGGCCAACTTTTGAGGTTTGGAGCTCATTTAGTGCAAGAGAAACTACCATTTCAAGTCTCAGTTTCAGAACCATCATTAATCATCCTGGTGATTCACGATTTGTGATAAAACTATCTATTCTGCAGCAATTATTCAACCTTTATACAATTTCAGAAGCAAACAGCAAATTTTCGACGAAAAGAAATCATTATAAGGCCAAAATATGAGAAAAAACACTCAAATATGTATGGTCATGGTCATCGTCATCGGCGCTGTTAGGCCTCAGCAGACCTTTAGCGTTCGAGTAAGCAACTACAACAAACACAGAACTCAGACTGCAAACCTCAAATGCAGGCTGTGTCTTGTCTGAGGCAGCCACCCTCTACGGGGGGGGTATGGGGCAACCTCCGTGGAAGTATGCCCCATCCCAGGAGGAAAGTGAGGTTCGTTTTTTTGGACCCTTGAGTGTTGTGGAGACAGTGGAGGATGCATTGCGGTGTAGCATGGCGCCAGTCCTGCTCCTCACGTAGTTGTCGAACCTCTTCATTGCGGGACTGCGCCGCAGATGCGACGAACTGCACTGAGGCGGGGCTGCTGAAGCTGATGAAGCGGCGCCGTTGTCCACGAGTCTCTTTCAGAGGAAATATCCCTCCAGCCGGCGGCCCCCCACGACTCCGCGTCCCGTTGACGCTGGCCCAGGAGGTGAGTGCACGGCCGATCACGGGGAAACTTCGCGGATGGCGGCAGAGACACGGTAGAGGAGAAGAGCAGTGGAGGCTTGATTGTCCCCGGTCGGGGCCGCAGGGGGAAATGAAACATCTGCAGCACGCCAGGGAGCTCCGAACCGGCACTGCCACACAGCCAAGAGCCTGAAAGAGGGACCACTCCGGAACGCGACGGTACCCGCGCCGACGAAGGTGCCATGGAGGGCGATGGGGTACTGCAGACACACCACAACGACGTCTGGGAAAGCCGCACCGCAGCGCGCATACGCGTCTCGGACAAGTACAACCAGTGGAGAGGGCCTCCTGGAAGTTCGTGAGCAGCCCGAAACGGAGATAGGGTGGGTCCCGCAGCGCAGATAGTGAACTCCTTTTCAGTCTCGCACGGTGCAGAACGGAGCACCCTGAGACAGCTAGATCAAATCGGTGGACTACTCCGGGACTCCAACGGCCTGCATGGAGGCCTACAGGGCGGAGCAGTGCTCACTGTCGCAGCTTCTGGAAGTCCACGCAGAGCAGTTAACCTCCTGCGCGGAGTGGCAGAATGATGCGTAGGGTGACGGCCTGGACGATGGTGGACAGTGGCGGATCCAGAGGCGGCCCCACTAAAAAGTGGTCATGGCTCCCCACAATGCAGTTTACGACTCTAAGGCTCCCCGAGCAAGCAAACAGCTACTTAGAATTAAATGTGATGTTGGATATTTTGCCGGAGAGCCGACATTTTGAGAAAAACCTAAGACATCGAACTTATCTCCTCAAATGTGAGAGTGAGAAAAAATATCTCAGATTTGAAAAAGGCCCAATTTAGCCAAAACGCTGTAACAAAAATTTTGGCGAGGTGCTATGGTCGTACCCTTGAAGCTAGAAGGTAAGGCTCTGGCTGAAATTAGTAAGAATTCTATTCTCTCGAAAGTCCGGTCGACCGGTGGTTGCCGTCGGCAAAGTAGTTCCCGAGAGCGACGGGGGTGGTCATGGTGCCCCACCCTCCCTTATGACTCTTTTCGACAGTTTCGTCTCACCCCTCAGTGAGTGAGATGTATTGCTATTTGATTTTCGGTGGGGTGAGTGTTGGATGGTGAGTGTTGGATTTCCTCCTCTACGCCGAAATATTGTAATAACATCTCGGTACGAGAAGAGTTCAAGGACGAGAAATACAAATCAATAGAACCATCGACACGTTCATGGTTCGAGATGCTTTTTGGCGAGTCCTTGGACTGATGCGTCTTGTTCTGTCTGTGACCAACAATGTAGGATGAAGTCTCTGGGTCTGTTTGCCGCTTTGACGGTGCTGGCTGCCCACAGGTGAGTTCGCTGATCCTATACGTACATGGTACAAACTTTGGCCTCTGAGGTCCGCTCTTGGTTCACGATCAATCACGGTTTTCTTCATATTTTTGGCCACAGGTAGTCTTTATGGCTCGGAGAAAGGCCCCAAAGTTTTTGGGCCGACGTATGCACGCTTCATTCTTTAGGCAATTTTCGTTCTTTTTGACAAATTTTCACACATTTTGACGAAGATTGGAAATTTGCTTTTGTGAGGCTACTGTGCCCTCCGGTGCCCGTTTGATGATAGGACAAACCAAACAAAATTCCTGTTTTTCTAGTGTTCTTTAGGTACTTTCCTGAGGGTTTTAGTTCAACATTGACTTCTACCTATCTGATGCGTGGGTTTGATAGAAAAAGGATTATAAGTTTTTGTACGCCGCCTGAATAGCAATGGCGCTGGGAAAAGTGGAAACCGTCATTTCTGTGTAGTCCTGAGATTTATGTACCTTTTGCAAGACTTCCTCCGTCCACAAACCCAAATGTTGCCCCTAGATTTGTAAGAATTGACGTGAAGTTTTATCGCTGTAACCAAACTCCAAAACAAAAATATTTCTTTTCAGGCGTTATTTTTAACCAAACACATGGATTTAGAGTTCACATACGTTCTTTCTGCCTGCAAAATCGGATTGCTTGTCCGAAATGACGCCTAGAACGCTTCGTTCTACCCCGCAATGATTACCCAATCTGTGACCGGTGTTAAAATCTTACCACGAAGTACTTTTAGTGACTTTCAGGATTTAGGAGCATCAAAAAAGTCCAGGTACAGGTAAAAATAATAATCTTGCTGTTATTTTATTTTCTTTCCGCATCAATTGCCTACCGCGCTTTGCGACGAAAAATGTGGTCTGTTTGAGTATGCGCTTTTAAGCAATTTTACAGCATTTTTGGACATTTATATGTCGACCACGTCAATGACGTGATCCGACAGAACAACGTATCTTCGTAGGGAATCCCACTGTATACATCCGCTGTTGTGGACGAATGTCACACAATTTATAGCCTTCCTTTCCCTCCTCTCAAAAAGTTTGGGCAATGTCAGATTACCGAATCACTTGGTTTGGGCTGTCAAGCAGTTTTCCCGTTGGATCTGGTTTTGTTAGCTTAATACTTTATTTGCCTTTTCTTCCTGCCCGTCCTTTTCACATGTTCGTTCAAGCGCGGCGCTACGAGCCAGCGATGTACCTGCGGTGGCGCTCAGCTCTGGAGGCTCCATGCCCTTGGTGGGGCTGGGGACTTGGCAGGTACGTAAAAATGCCTGCAAGCTCGTCATGGGAGTCCAATCACTTCAAGTGTGCTCTAAATACTTCTTTTACTGTAAGGACTGAGCATTTACGAATTATCTTTGGGGAAAAGCTGCTAAAGGTATCTACGTGTATTTACAATGAATCCGGATGAATCCTCGTGAAGTTGGGCTACTGAAGATCTTTCCAGGAACATTTTTCTGGAGGTACCTTCGTTTACTCCAGAGATTTGTTTTTTTTTACAGTGTAGCCGGGAATTGCTTTCCAGGTGACAGGTGACCGGGAGCTGGAGCAGGCGTTGGACGCGGCGCTGGAGGCGGGGTACCGCCACATCGACACTGCCACCATTTACAACAACGAGCACCTGATCGGCAAGGTGCTGAAGCGGTGGCTCTCGGAGGGCAAGGTGAAACGCGAGGACCTGTTCATCTCCACCAAGGTGAGGCCTCCTGAGTGTTGTACTCCTAACCTCAAACGCGATGTGTGGAATCTTCGTTCTCCCTCCACACCGAGGGGTAAACACTTGAGTAATACCCTGTACACAAATGTCGGGTAATAGCATTACATTTTGGGACCGACATTTGTGTACAGGGTATTACTCAAGTGTTTACCCCTCGGTGGTGGGAGAACATTGAAAAATGACAAAGTATCAAAAAATGTCATTTTTCAATGAAAACGAGGCGTAATACGTGCGTAATACAAGTGTAATACCCCGTAACAGGGGGTAGTCTGTATACAAGGTTCACCGGAGTGTTTACCCCCTCGCTCCACACTTAAAAGTGCAGAGTTTGTAATGTCCACGCTACTGGTGCACATGTGCAGTTCATGACGTCTGCACCATGCACAAGAGATACGGGCTCTGTGAGCTAATTCACACCATAAGTGTGTACACTGGAAACTCAGAACTCAAATGGTGGCAACTTACTGCGCACCAGGACGTGTAGAAGTTCTCCACACGGTTTGACAGTGCACCATTAGAATTTACAAATGTTGGCTATGATGATGGGCATTGTTGCAGTTGCCAGTGTACGCCATGCGGGCAGCGGACGTGCCAGACCTGCTGAACCAGTCGCTGAGCAGGCTGCAGCTCGACTACGTGGACATGTACCTCATCCACATGCCGTTCGGCGTGAACCGCGAGTCATACAATGGTAGTGTGAATGCTGAAATTTTAGTTGAATCACGGGTGGTCGCATGGCTCGCCGTTTTCTTACAGAATAGGGTACTTGGGAACCGGAACCGGAACTTGAGAGGAAATCAAGAAGAAGGAACGCCGGACTTGAGAATACAACTCTGCGGAAGCGGCAGAACGGCGACGCAGACGCTCATTCTTACACATTTCGCATACTTTGTTCTTCTCGATTTCTTCTCCGAACACTGTTAAAAAATGGTTGCACAGAAACAATCAGATGAGTGAAAATTTAGTCGTTCCAAAACATAGAATTTCATCATGAACCATAGCGAAACAAATGTCGTTGAGTCTAGTAACATTTTGTCGTTGAAGAACAAAATTCTTGTTATCACTCATTACAATACAATTTGTGTGGAAACAACATCTTTTGCAATTATCTGCTCAATTAAAGTATATTATGAATAACCATCTATTTTGTTCTTCTAAGTCATAGGAAAATTACTATTGTTAAAAAAAACCATGCAAAATAAATTTAGCGACAAAAGTACTCTATGAATATTGTCGCAGACATTCCAAAATTTCCTTGGGACTTTCAATACTTGTGGATGATGTGTTACTGTTGGTGCGTTATTACAAGTTAGTTGTTGTGAAATTTTCCCTTGGTTCCAATACGACTACGGTTTAACAAGCTATTTGTTCCACAACAAATCTTGTCGCTAAAAAATTTAGCGATAAATGTGTCGCTAAGTTACGACAAAATTTTTATCAGTGAAGACCTATTGAGGAAATCCGCACTAAAAGTGTTCACTGTTATTCAAGGAACGTGACGTCACGTTCCTTTGAATGTGAAAACTGTCACGTTCCTTTAAACGTGACAAGTCACGCTCAAAGGAACGTGACAGGCTTGGTTCATTTGTCATATTAATTTAAGCGTGACACTAGCCAGCTGGAAAGCAGTCACGTTTCTTTCAACGAGACAAATGCAATGCTCATTTTGACGAGACAATTGTAATCAAATTGGGCGGCAAAGGCTAGACTCATCAGAGAAACCGTTCACGAGAACAGCAGTCTTCATGGCTTACATAAAAACTGAGCGGTGAAACTTACCACCAGCATGTTGGTAAGTTCAAATCATTTCCGCCCAACTCCGCTCTCACATGGACTGGTTTCAAATTTTAGTTCAAAGCCACTTCATACCCAGTCTTTCATTTCAAATGTACTAACCTTACTAGGTACTCTGGGCAGCCCCTCTGAATCAATTTTTGGACAGGGTGACTGCTTCTGATGGTATCCAATGTTGAAAGCAAACCAAAACATTGCTTTCTGTAGTGGCAGACACATTATGAAGGTGACTTGGTTTGCTTTCAACATTGGATACCATCGGAAGCAGTCACCCTGTCCAAAAATTGATTCAGAGGGGCTGCCCAGAGTACCTAGTAAGGTTAGTACATTTTAAACAAAAGACTGGGTATGAAGTGATGGTGGCTTTGAACTAAAATTTGAAACCAGTCCATGTGAGAGCGGAGTTGGGCGGAAATGATTTGAACTTACCAACATGCTGGTGGTAAGTTTCACCGCTCAGTTTTTATGTAAGCCATGAAGACTGCTGTTCTCGTGAACGGTTTCTCTGATGAGTCTAGCCTTTGCCGCCCAATTTGATTACAATTGTCTCGTCAAAATGAGCATTGCATTTGTCTCGTTGAAAGAAACGTGACTGCTTTCCAGCTGGCTAGTGTCACGCTTAAATTAATATGACAAATGAACCAAGCCTGTCACGTTCCTTTGAGCGTGACTTGTCACGTTTAAAGGAACGTGACAGTTTTCACATTCAAAGGAACGTGACGTCACGTTCCTTGAATAACAGTGTTGTTTTCTTGGTTTTTCGTTGTCGCACGGTTTTGTAGGTAAAAGAACTCCCTTTAATCTGTCTGACATTGTCAGAAAATTTTTACTCATCAACAAAGAAGTAATATTAGAATACAAGGTAGGTGTACGCGCGCTTACACCTAAGGGAGAGTGGGGTAATTCCGGACGCTTTTTTTCTTTTTGGTCTTTGAGCTTGAATATGCTTCTTGGGTTAAATGTTATGACAGGAGAGTAAAGTATGGACCTTTACCTTCTAAATGGTATACATGAAAGCCAAATCTCAGCAACGGTTAGGGAGATATAGGCGCCTAACAAAAGCCCTGCACGTGTCCGGAATTGCCCCAGCCTGGGGTAATTCCGGACGACCTATGGGGCAATGCCGGACGACCTTAAAATTTGACACTACTCGAGCTTACTTTCGCTTGTTTTGATGTGAGGCATGCTTTTAGAAGGCGTTCAAGGACATTTGCTGCGAACTGAAGTGTTTGATTATTACTCAAAGCATATTATAAGGAATAATTTCTATCAAAACCCCTAAATTGACAACACTGCGAGGGGTGAATTACTAGTGTACTCATGTGTACAAATTTGACCGTACTCAGTGTACTCACAAGTTTGAAAAAGCTGAAATTCTCTAGTTTTTCGACTGATTTAACGTCGACTGCCGTTAAAAACGCTAAATAAAGCCTTAAAACGTTTAAAATTGTGAAATTTATGAGTAAAGCAAGGTGTACTCACCCGTACTCATGTACTCATGTGTACACCAGAACGCCGAGTGATTCACCCCTCGCAACACTGTCTTGAGTAAAGCTCTTAAACATAGCTGCAATGCTATTTTTCGTTCTTTCTTTATCCTTCTGAACGGTGGGGATGCATGTCCACAATTTTGAACCCACTACCTTAACATTATGCGGGAAATTGAAGAAAATAACCCTTATTGTCCGGATTTACCCCACAGGTAGTGAAAGCCTTTGATGTTCAACTGTAAGAAAACGGCGAGCCATACGAGCACTCCCGAAACGCCAAAGTAAAGTCCAATGACCATATAATATGATAAAATTTTAGTCATGGGACTGAACTTGACGGTAAGGTACGATAAGTACATGGAAATACGAGGGAAAGATGCAGCTTTTGCCTATTTTTGATGGTACTCAAATTTCGTGAAGCGACCACAGGCAAACGGTTTGACCTACTATACTTTGGCGATTTGGAATTCTCCTTTTAAACTGATTATCTTCCTCTGTTAGGCGGGCTTTTGAGTTAGCTTCACTCAAACCCAGTGAAAATCGAAGTGTCCGGAATTACCCCACTCTCCCTTACCTTGGCCTGCGGCGCTGGCCTGCCCTTCGGCAGACTCTCTCGTGACACCGCGCCACTCAAAGAGACCTGATCGAACGTCAAAGCAGCATTAGGTTCCAACTTTTTACCTTTCAAGCACGGGGTCGACCTGGTTGGTTCGTTGGTCAAACTGAATGACACTTTTGTTTTGACTCCCCTAAAATTCTGGCTAACTTTTCTCCCATTAGGCATGGAACCTGGGCCATATGTTGAAATGGGTTCCATTTTCATTTTCAGCACCCCCCCGAAACGTATGTAATGATGTAAAACTTCACTGAGAATCCAAACGCTATGAGTATAGCGTCAATTGGTGCAATGCAAAAGCATTGCACATGAAGTGCAATGCCTCCCATTTCCCATGCATTAGGATAGGGCCTTTTCGGGAAGCATTGCACCAAAGGTGCAATATGGCTGTGGCATTGCACGTATGGTGCAATATCACAGCGCATTGCACCATACGTGCTATACTCATAGCGTTTGGAATCTCAGTGTTAACATGTCAACATATGTAAGGAACATTTATTTTATGCCGATTTTTACGTGTTTTTTGGCTGTTATGATCTAACGGATTCAGATAGAATGCTGAATTTTGGTGTGTGCGGTGAGCCAAGGACATACTTTATGACCCTGCAAAATCTCAGCCAGATCGGCTGAGCCGTTCAGGAGGAGAAGCGCACACACGCACGCACTCACACACACACACGCAGACAGAAAAAGTTTCTAAACCCCACTGGAGTAACGGGCTTCGCTAACAAGCTCGGCCAGTCTAAAGTGTCTTCAGCAGTCTTATAGTGGAGTCCATTTTGTGTCTTTCCATCTGAAGTACTGACTTCAGGCACTGTCTTTCTAGATTTTGTGCTGTCTCCAAAGACTCTTTCCAGCTTTTTAGTGCTGTCTTCAGGCACTGTCTTACAAGAATTTGTACTGTCCTAAAACACACTCTTTTCAGCATTTGTGCCGTCTTCAGACACTGTCTTTCTAGATTTTGTACCGTCCTCAGACACACTTTCCAGCTTGAGAGCTGTCTTCAGCCACTGTCTTTCCACCTGTAGTGCTATCATCAGGCATGCTATCATTTACGGTGTCAATGTAAACAGAGGTAGTTTTAATTTTGTTAGTTTCATCGCCTCTGGCAGCATGCTCGCGGCGTCCTGAACTCTGGCCGACGCAATCCTCTTGTCCTCCGGGACTCGGCCCGACGTCGGCGCGGTCCTCTTGACTCTGCAATAATTCGTAAAAAACATTGAAAAAGGTTGAAGTAATATTTCCATACAGAGTGAATAATAATAAAGAATTGTACCTGTAACATTTTCAACCAGTGACGCCTCTTTGCCTTCAGCCCACTTGGAAAAGGGGTTTCTTTCAATACGTACAACCTTTCCTGATAATTACTGTTGCGTGCCACATGTTGCTGACACGGAACTTGTTTGATTTCTGCAGTAGTGTGACACATAGGCAGGAAAGGACTTAATGTGCTTTATGACGGCTTCTCTTGCAATTTCTGGCAGAGCATGTTTGGGCTTATGTCGACCTCTTGAATCGTCTCTTGCTTCACCTGTCTCCAGAACGTCCTAGGTGTAGTTCAAGCTCTTTGGCTGTCTGTAAGGCAACTGTGTATTTATCGTTGTGGCTGCGAGGCACGAAAGGTTTCGCCATCGACACAATTCTTTCAGCTCCAGTGACAGGTGCCTTAGTTTGGGGTCCCTTCTTTTTAAACCACATAACATCAATGTCATCTTATCTTTTGTGTGAATCACCATTTCTGAAAAAGTACAGCAACATACACAAGAAGAAAAGTGCTAGGGCCACTGAAAATAGAAAGGTGAGTTTTTTGACCCCTTAAACGGTCTTACTGAAATGTACGACCGAAAAAGGGTCATACTGAAATGTAAGACCGAAAAAAGGTCATTCTTCGATATATGGCCGAAAAACGGTCATACTTTAGTGTATCACGGGTAAAGGCTGATATATCCCCAAGCTAAACAATAGCCAGTCTCGCTGATGTCTCACCTTATTTTGGTCACACATTCACTGAAAATAGAAAGGTCATACTTTTGACCGCTCAAACGGTCTTACTGAAATGTACGACCGAAAAACGGTCATACTTCGATGTATGACCGAAAAAACGGTCATACTTCGATGTATGACCGAAAAACGGTCATACTTCGATGTATGACCGAAAAACGGTCATACTTCGATGTATGACCGAAAAACGGTCATACTTTATAGTGTATCACGGGTAAAGGCTGATATATCCCCAAGCTAAACAATAGACAGTCTCGCTGATGTCTGACCTTTTTTTGGTCATACATTTAAGTATGACCGTTTTTCGGTCATACATTTAAGTATGACCGTTTTTCGGTCATACATTTAAGTATGACCGTTTTTCGGTCATACATTTAAGTATGACCGTTTTTCGGTCATACATTTAAGTATGACCGTTTTTCGGTCATACATTTGTGTATGACCGAAAATCGGACAGATGTCTCACCCTTTGAATTTCAGTGTTCAAGTATGACCGTTTTTCGGTCATACTTTTTGTATCACCGAAAATCGGTCAGATATCTCACCCCTCGAATTTCAGTGGCAGTTTGGACCTCCGAATGTGCCGAGCCAGGTGGCAGCTGTGGAAAAGCAGGAGTGCACTGAGATTCCAAACGCTATGAGTATAGCACGTATGGTGCAATGCGCTGTGATATTGCACCATACGTGCAATGCCACAGCCATATTGCACCTTTGGTGCAATGCTTCCCGAAAAGGCCCTATCCTAATGCATGGGAAATGGGAGGCATTGCACTTCATGTGCAATGCTTTTGCATTGCACCAATTGACGCTATACTCAGAGCGTTTGGATTCTCAGTGTGTCTCAAGTTACCCTTGCTGTCTCAAGTTACCCCGGTTGACGGAAATATGAGGGAGAGCACATACCAACTTGATTACACGATAGTGATTTTCCACTCTGTGGTGCTGTTGCCTTAATTCCACGGAGTCTTTACGGTTCCTGGAGAGCGATTCTCACGTTTCGGGGTAGTTTTGGCGTCTCTGATTTGCCGAAAGTGAAAAATATCCAATTAAGTTTTTCTGATTATTGGGGTCCTGGATGATACTAGAGTTATGGCAATGGTATTTATAGTAAAGACCTTGTACTACCTTCCTAAAAACATGAGCCATAAGGTATTCCCACACGTTTTAGTGGGTGTTTTGATCACGGAAATTACGTTATCACGGAAGTTACAAAGTGTGAAAATCGGCTTTAACGGCTGACTCGGGCTTGCTGTGGCTTAAATGTCGTTCCAGAGTCAAATGATACTCTAAGCCCGACATTTCAGCGGAAATTTTTTTCACCTGGTACTGCTGCAACATTGGGTAAAGGGTGCCACGGAAGTTACAGGTAATTGTTGATACACGCCATTTTATAATGCTCTAGCCCGCTTTGAGACCGTGTACAGCATCTTAGATTTCCGTGACCCATGCAATTATATCCCAGGGACTCCACTTTGATGGCTTGTGTCATGGAAAGTTTAAAGTTTGGCTTGGGGAGAAGTCCAGAGCTGCCTTTTCGAAATTAGTGTAGTGAAATTGAATACACGGAGGACATTTTTCGTTGCAGCATAAGTACCTTTGAAAGAAGTCTGGCGTGTTGGTCTTCGGTTGAAATTAGGTCGAGACATGCCAAGCTTCGAATCCCCATCGACAGTTGGCAGCATTTTCGAACCACACCGCCACACTGGGGGCGGAAAGTTCGAGTATGTTCTCTTTGGACAATCACGGAAGTTACATTTAGGGTATTCCAAACGCTACGTAGACCAATCCAACGGACGTGAACTTTTCGAAATGTGTGCGTTTAGTGGGCAATGGCCCTCCCTAACATCAGAAACAAACCCCATGTCGATATCTGCGCTCGTTTGGGCACAGGAGTCAGAAGAAACGAAACTACCCCGTAACGTGAGAATCGCTCTGGAGGACCAGGCCTGTGGACTGGACAACCGGTGAGGCACACTCCATCAATTCGATCTCTGCTTTTGCGAATGTTTCATCCGTCTCTGCAAACTTCAAGTTGTTTACTGCGAGTTGAACCAGGAGTCCCTCCCTCATAGATGCTTCTTTTCCACCAAGAGTCTGAAGCAAACACAAATACCCTTTTGCATTAGGAAACACTTTCTTGCAGGCATTTATTTCTGATGCATCCTAGTCTTAATTCTGTCTGCCACTTTATCGGTGACTGCTTCCCTAAATGTCTGGAGCAGTTCTTCGACTGTAGTCTGCTTCTCGTTTAAAACACATGCATAGCCAGGAGAATGACCAGATCCATTACCATCTTTCACCATGAGAATGCTGACTGGCATTCCATGACGGTTGATTGTATGTGTGTTGCGTCATTAGTACGCGCCCAAAATCAATGACATTCTATACTCACCCATTCAGTTTGGATTCTCAGAGCTCATTCGATTCGTAATCATTTGAAACTTTATATTTGAGATTCAAAAGTGCCGCTTCGACTGTCTCTGTTCAAAGGGGTCTCGATCGTCGCCATCGGGCCCAACGACACCGACCCCTCCACGGACCACCGGGCCATCTGGGACGCCATGGTGGCCGAGAAGGAGGCCGGCCGGGCCAGGGCCCTGGGCGTGTCCAACTTCAACGAGAGCCAGATCGAGCGCCTCGTGAAGCACAGCGCGGTGCCGCCGGCCAACCTGCAGGTCGAGCTCCACCTGTTCCATCAGCAGAAGCCCCTCGTCGAGTTCTGCAAGAAGAACAGCATAACGGTGACGGCGTTCTCGCCCATCGGCAGCCCCGGCTCCAAGTGGCTCATCAAGCTCTCGGGGTGAGCGAGGTCGAGGGATGAATCACTAGTGTACACTGGGATTCTGAACGCTGTGAATATAGCACGTGTGGTGCAATGTACTGAGATATCGCACCATACGCACTTCAAATTCAAGTGTGAGACAGTCTCAAACTATTTAGTACGAACCATTGTGTCTCACGCTTACAAGCGTGAGCCCCGTTTGTCCCACGCTTGCAAGTGAGAGACACCATTTGTCTCACACCTACACGTCGTGTGAGACACGTCTTGTCTCACACTTGCAAGCATAGGTCCTGTGGCATTGAACCAAAGTGAACCACAGATACTCTACAAATCGAAGAGAGTACATTGTATGCTGTAACTGGAGCATGCCTGCAAGCACGCTTTAGCTAGCGCATGCCTGCCAAGCATGTACTTACTAGTGCATACATGCCATGTACACGCTTCCTGATGCAGGCAACTCCCTATCCCCTATCCATATGCAGCATGCACTAGATGCATGCTTCAGTTTGCGTGTACATGGCATGTATGCACTAGTAAGTGCATGCTAAACCGTGTTTAACACATGTTGGTGTGAGACAAATGGTGTGTCACACTTGCAAGCGTGGGACAAACGTGGTTCACGCTTGTAAGCGTGAGACACAGGGGTTTGCACCAAATAGTGTGAGACTGTCTCACACTTGGATTGGCCGACACGGCTTCTCCCCGCAATCGAAATTAAAGTAAGAATCTACCGGGAACACGAATTGTATGTTCAGGAAGGAGCTTCCCGATCTGTTGAACGTCCCCGAGGTCCTGGAGATCGCCAAGAAGCATCGCAAGACCGCCGCACAGGTGCTGCTGCGACACATCCTGCAGAAGGGCATCGCCGTCATTCCCAAGAGCTCCACCCCCGCTCGAGTTCGCCAGAACATTGACGTACGTGTGTGCACACTACAAACCTAACTGTCTACTAAGTACACACTTACAAATGCATGCGTGGCAAGTACACACTTACAAACGCATGTTTGGCCAAGTACACACTTGCAAACGCATGCTTGGCTCCATACAACTCCATGCTAAGCATAGGCGTTTACCATAGTACCCTTATAAGGGTACTTGGCCAAGCACGTTTTTGGAAGTGCGTACACTGCAAAAAAAAAAAGTGTGGATAGTACAACAAAAGTACAACAAAAACTGTACAATAAAAGTACAACAGGGATTGTAGAAAGTACAGCGAGAATTGTACAAACCACAACGAGCCCTGGATGGCACAGCACCCATCATGCCGGCTCCATTGTACTTTGTACAACAATTGTTGTACTTGAAAAGTACACTAAATTCCTGATAAAAAATTTGCCAGAAATTTGTGTACTTTTGTTGTGGTTATTTCCTGCAGCGTACTTGGCGAAGCATGCTTTTGTAAGTGAGTACTTGCAAACACGCATATGGAAGTGAGTATTAAGTAGACAGTTTGGTTTGTAGTGTACTGTGCTGAAGTGAACATTGAGCAGTGTGCCAACAGCACCGAAGTGGTCAGAGGCACTATCTTTTTTATCCTTACTGGTCTGTTGTCAGATTTTGGACTTCAGCCTCGACGACGAGGACGTCGCCAGTTTGGATTCCCTGGACAAGGGCATTGACGGCAAGCTGTTCATCATGAAAAACATCGGCGGGTGGGTCATTGGTCATTGTCACTATGGAGGAGATATAAAATCAGATCGTGTCACTTGCGACTTGGGCTGAGGTACACGACCGTGCGGCGCTCATCGAATTTTAGATCGCGGCATTCCGCTTCTGAAAGAGGAGCACTACACCTACCATTGTAGCTGGTAGTTTACGCTAGGTCCGGGCCACCCCTTCCAAACATCCTGCACTAAACGTCCTGTGGCTGAAAACAACCTTGTTTCATTTACTGAAAGAAACCGAAATGGTTTTAATCGTGGCGACAAAAATACCTTGCTCCTCTAAAGAAAAGAATAACATCTTTCTAGCCTAAACCTTAATTTGTCATACGTCATGACCACACCCTGCTCTTTTTCAGGTCGGTGAACCATCCCGAGTACCCTTGGACCAAACTCCAAAACGAAGCGACCTCGTGAGAACGCACTTGGTGCGCTGGACAAGAGTGGTATTAGGTGATAGGTTTCGTAGGTGATGGTTTCCCTGTAAACAGAGCATTTATTAAACTCAAAACCCCAGCCACTGGTTGCCCTGTAAACACAGCATTTATTAAACTCAAAACCCCAGCCACTGGTTGCCCTGTAAACAGAGCATTTATTAAACTCCAAACCCCAGCCACTATTACTCGGTCAGGTGTTGTTTGACTCAGTCAACAAACGCGTTCCAGACAGACTCCTGTATTGTATCTCTGACGTACCCCACTTACTGAAGACAATCAGAAATGCCTTCTTTAACTCAAGAAAGAAAACAAAGAATAACAAGCAAAGCCCAAGGCTTCTCAAGAAGAATGGTGAATATACAGTTTGGGATAGAACTATTAGGCTTTATGTGTCCAAGAGAGACAAAGCATTGAGTAAATCTCGAGGGGTTACCCACTCCGGGAATCGTGTGTACACTCAGTCCGGGAATCGTTCGTAATTTGCTCAAAATGTTATCGAAAATCTTAACAGTTTCAATAGAGAGGGATATGTAATAGATACAAAACACTCAAACGCTAAGAAAGATCTTCAAATACCTCTCCTTTTCTGCAAGATTTGTTCAGAAATCGCGGGAATCCGGAATCGTGTGTACGCCCAAGTACCGAGTGGGTAACCCCTCGGTAAATCTTACCAGCTTAATGCACAAAACGTGTACCCTGACAGCTACATCAGAATGAAGGTAAAACCTGCCGGAGAAGTGACGAGTCACACTGTGGGAAGGGTTGGGTTCTCTACCCATGGTTTAAGAAAAAACTATAGACGGCTTCTTACATACACTATCGAAGATGTCCAGGACTTTGAGAACGGAGCTGAAGGAAGCAGATTCCAAGAGCTGCTGGATTTTGTGTCTTAGTGCAAGTAGACAGCCTAATGTAAACTGTGCTACCTTGTAGAGAGGAATTGGCTTGTTTTTTTATTGAACAAAATTCTGCACTAATATAAAGGAATGTTGTGGACAAGGGCGTATTTTCTACAACGTTTCAACAAAAATATACATATACGTAATTCCAAAAACATAACCAAACACATTTCACTAAAGCCCCCCCCCCCCTCCCTCCCAATAAACAAAAGACGATTCCAGCAACTCCAACCACACTGTAACAAATAAGATTTAAATTAATAAAAACAAGTAAACTGTTTTCATTTGCAACTGAAACAATCACCTAGTCCTTCATCACTACTTTCATGGCGGGACCCTCATTCGTGCAACTTCTTTTCAGTGATGAGTATTCCACGCTAGCTGAAAGATAGTTTGCAGACATCTCCCCCACTGTCTTCACCATGTAAAAAGCCATGTCAATATCTGCATCAATAAAAGCACAAAGTTAAAGGTAAATTCATCATTACAATCTACATTAAATAAATAAACCCCATCATCACCATCTTTATGGATTTTTGCTATGTTGGTGAGTTTCACTTGGTCATACTAGACAACAGAATACGGCTTGTCAATGCCTAATGCAGAATTCATCTTCTCCATAGTTCCATCATACATGTTGGCAAATGACTTCGGTAAATCAGTGACAAATTCAATATTACCTTCATCAATTACATTTGCCTTCAAGCCTTCAGTCGCTTCGAGTAGTCTCTGAAATATTCTTCATACAACATTTCTGTAAAAGTGTCAAGTCACCAAATGATGGTTAAAGGTCGGCTTGACCAAGACATCCAATTTCATTATCACTCATCTGAAACAAAAGATTAAACTGTTACAGAAAATGTACGTCAATCACTGCTAAGCGGGAAATTTTGTCATGAGTGATCTGACATGGAACAGCTCATCAGCAGGGGGCGGCAACGGCCTAGGAAGCGCGTGAAGCCATGCGCGAGCAAGGTGCAGGGGTTACTTACTTTGCTTCGATTGGAAGATCTAGCCCGTTGAATGCAAAACGCTTTGCGCAGATCAAAAGAGCACAAAATTTAAGGTGCATTAGGCCTAGTAGACTGCCCGATACTTCCAATTCAACCGAACACAAGGGCGGAATCATTAACATCAACATGGCGCATTCGAGTTTCTCCTAAATTTTATGATTTCACGTGTTTTTCGGTGTTTTTACTGCACCTAAATCTAACGTCAGAGGGTAGTTTCGAGAAGAGCAATAAGCCTAATGCACCCTAAATTTGAAGCCCTTTCCATCGGTGCAAAGCGTTTTGAAAAACACAGTCTAGTTTTCATAATCTGGAACAAATGCACAACCTCTGCACTGACGGCGCGAGCATCGCTTCACGCTCTCCCTAGGCCGTTGCCACCCCCTGTCATCAGCGAAGGCCATCGCAACCCTTTTTTTAAAACCACATGTGGAGACATTAAAAGCCAAGCGAGTGGGGAATCGAACTCAAAGACTGGCTGTAAAATGAAGAATAACTTATGACACATTGTCCTTGCACTGCTGAGCTTACCTGGTCATTTAACCACATTGGTGGCTTCAATGTTCGCAGGTCCATGAGAAGGATAGACATATAGAAAAGACTTTTTGGATAACTTCAAGTGAATCCATACCCTCATCATCCAAAATTTTTGTAACTTCAATCTGAGGTCAATACATATCAAGGAATAAAAATTTTATCGCATTACAACAAGGTCAACCGTTTTTGGGAGCAGACTGGGCACGGACGTAAGTCAACCCAATCCAAATAAGTGAATGATTATTTGCACAAGAACACACAAGCCTCAGTCTTCAGTTCTGGACGCCTGCCAGTCGGTTTGCTTAATCCATTTACTTGAAGGGAATCATTTATGAGGGTAGTTTTCTGTGTCCTAAGGCGTAGGTACACATCAGGGCTCAACAGCCTCATTGGTTCTTCCAGAGACGTATGTCTCTGAAGTATGTGTGTGTGTCCTGAACTATTGACAGTTCTTCTGACACCTTCTGTTCAAGAGTAGCATGGATGGACATCCAACTGACTGAGACTGCTGAGCTTACGATTTCCATGCTTCCACCTTCAGCTTTATTTTTTTGGCCTGCTCCTCCGCTCTGGCTGTCAGGGCATCTTGCCCCTTTATTTTTCTTTTTAATGTCGCATCCTTAAAAAAAAAAAGAAATAATTTTAAGACAGGCTGGCAACAGATCAAAAGGGACAGAATAAGAAACAAACTGAAGTCGCAATCAAATATTTACCTGTTTCAAATTGGTCTCATTTTCCGTGTCAGCATCATTTATCTATCACAGTTATCAGATTCATCCACTTCCAAAATTGTCTCCATTTTTTGATATTTTTTCCCCTTTAAGGGGGGACCCTGGTGAAAAAATCGCCAAAATTCCAAAAAATAGTATTTTCACAGTTCATAGATAAAAATGTGCATAGAAGGTTTCAAATTCTACAGGTTCAACACCTTTAAGCTAAGTGGGTAGTTTCTTTATCATTTGGAAGGAAATAACATTGAGATCAGTTGTCGTTGGTTTCTACGCTCAACTTCACAGCTTTGCTCAGTCGACAAAAAAATTTGTCGTAGAAAGACTTCCTGCGTTCCTGGTTGACACCTACATGAGTCGTCTTGCATGGACTCTATTCATTGATGACTTGTCGACAAATTTTAGTGACGGAATCTTGATATCAGCCCTACTTTTTTTAAAACACACCTAAAAGTTTGAAAAAAGGGAAAAAAATCAGTTTTTTATTAATGTTGGAATTTGAAAACTCATACACTGAGAAAACAAATGCGGAGGATTCCGCACAATCTGATGCGGTGTAATTTTCTATCAATTTGACCGCACTAACTGATGCGGAGAAGATTGACTTCATTTACTCCTGCGGTGTGTGCCAAACTGATGCGGTCTCAGTTTTGACCGCATTAGTTGAGGTGGATTTGAAGATCCCACGATATTTACAGCAGTGGCAACTTCCCTTCCCAGTCCATCCTCAAAGTGGTTACGTTTACTTGGCCATCTCATTTACTTCTTAAACAATATTATTTGGGAAACCAGTACATACCTGTCATGTAGATGTTTGTAACGCTGAGATGAGCGTAAAGTTAACAGCGATATCAGCCTCATTAAGTAGTTTTTTTTTTTAAATAAAAACCAATGATTGAAACTGCATTTTTTTAGAGATGAATTGTTACACAATTTGAAAACACAATTCAAAATTCTTTTTATCTTTCAAGTCCTCGGCAGTCTTCGGTGAGAACAGCACTGAGGTTTCCAATGTTGTCCAGCCCAGGGCAAGGTTGAGGTTAAGTGACCGGGTTGCTTTGGCACAAATATTTTCAATACTGCAATATAGAAGCATGTCAACACATGCGAAGCACTACAGTACAACTGTATTTTAGTAATATTCATAGTTTTATGCTTTAAAACATCCACAACTATTGAAAAATCGTTTTTTCACACAAAGAAAGTTCAAGACACACACTCTCATAGAGAACAACAGAACAAGCCTAACAACAAGAAGATGGTAGTGCCAACCTAAGATCTTGGGAACGTGCTAGCGTTAAAGTAAAACCAACTTTGGATGTATTTTAGAGATTTTTAAGGGAATGGTTTGTTTCTTAAAGCTTAAAATTTGATGAACGACTCACACAAAAGAACAACTTTATAGTTAACTTTCTGACTCATAAGAAGTTATTTTCTTATGTTGGCACTCCTTTGTTTTTGTTTAGCTTATTTATTTTGTTGTTGATTTGTGTGATAGTGTCAGAGATTTGAAAGATTATTCCTTTAGAAAACGTTCTTGCAAGGGTTTGGAATGATTCAGACCCTGAAATTATGAAATAACCTCAATCAAAGAAATGCTGTAGTGCGTCGTGTGCGTTGACTTGTTCAAATACAGCAGCACAGACAATTCTTCAGTCAAGCAGCCGGCGGGTTTAACCTTACCAGCATGCAGCATAGCCTGGCTCATGGAAACTAGTATCACCAAGAAGTTTGAGGCTAAAAATAATTTAAAGTGATGAATAACAATAGTTTGATACTGCATTTGGAACAATATCCAGTGTCAATCAACATTTTATACAGCCAAAATTATTATTCCGTGGCTTGCTGTTTCAAACACAGGATATTTACTCATCGCAGCGTTACAAACATTTACATCAAAGGTATGTGTTAGTTAGTCAATGATAAGCATCAGAAGTAAATGAGAACACTGCAAAGCCAGTGGTAAGTTAACT